AGTATTATGTAGCAGAGTAGTTTGATGCATAAAAGTAGCAATTCCTTTTCAGTTCTTAGTGAATTCAATCTTTTGAAAGATATGCGCGCTCGAAGTAAAAACTTGTAATCAATACCTTTCAGAAATGATAAATTCTGCGTATTTAAAATGTAGATCTTCATGAACTTTAGAAAATAAAATGAAACATACCACATATATTACTAATATCACAAACGCACACATATGCATTTATATAAGTACTCAAATTACATTTTCAGAGTCTTTCATTCTGCATAGATGCTTAAAGGAACGTCAACTTTTGTGCAATAAAAGATTAGATTGATTTGATCAAATTAGAAGATGTAAACTAATAAAAAATATCAAACGATCGAATTAATATTGCTATTTCAGCTACTGCTTAAAAATACTAGTGATTAAACTAATATCTGCAAGTAATGGAAGAGAAAAATTATGCATAATAATTTACATTACGTATGAAAATTATGAAATTTAAATGAAGTATGGACATTATTATGCCTTAATGTTTGGACGTAAATAATAAAAATATGGTTAGAATGAAAGCTTCTTCGAACTAATTTCATGCAGACAAACTGCCGGTACGTGGTATTTTTATTTTTTCTCGTAAATATACTTAATATTATTTCCAAATAAAGTTCGAACATTCTTCGATTATTTTTATCTATTCATTAGGTGTGAACAAGATGTCCAGTCTTTACTGTGTCAATTAAAAAACATCTATGTATGAATTATACTTACTTCCTCTTTTTTCTATACGCATACAAAATAAGCACCAAGGAGAGCATGATGATAATTGAACCAACCACGATGCAGACGATGATAACAGGCCAAATCTATTAAATGAAATATTTATTGCGAAAAACATCAGATTATTGTGGTACATTGTTCGAAAAATATAACACACACACGCATAATTATTTTAACTGACTTAATTGGATAATTTTATTGGATAAATTCGGTTATTATAGGAAAATTAAAGAATTCTCCGATTGCCTTGTGTCAAATTGTTTCTAAATGTGTAAACTGAATACAAATTTATCCAGTAGGTTAAACCATTTTGGGACGTACGAAAGGTGTAATGGATAGCAGCTCGGAATGTAAAATCAAGTTAACGTTCCAGTCGAATTTTATTGCATTCACTTTCATGCAAATATTCTTAGGAAATGAATCCACCCAATTATCAGTTGAATAGTAGGGCAGACTGGCCTCTTCAGGCTTGGATGGCAGAGTCTAGGAGAAGGACGACTTTGAATTGAAAACCATATATAGCCCTGGCGAAGCTAATGGGAATCTCTCTGATCCCGATTGCGATTGATTGATCAAGCCATTTTACACTTGGTCAAAAGGCAGGTGTTAATTTTTCACATGCCATAAATAAGTTATTACTGGAAAACTGTTACAGAACAATCTTCCATTAACATATTAACAGTCTTGACTAAAGCAAGAGAACTGCTAATAAATAATTAGCAGTGAGAACTGAAAAGTTTTAGGTTTCTCCAGCTTCCGAAAATCTGATCAAATAATTAAACAGAATATATTTAGGATCGCCCGATAACTTTTCGGAAATCCCTCGTATATAATTTCAGAATAATCATTAAAATAAATTAAAATAAATATACGAAATAAATAAAACTATCATTATCATAATATATAGATTATATTATATAGAAACATTTACACATTGATTCTTAAATGAACGTTCATTCATGGCTTATGTGAAAATATATTTTCTGCAAAATTTAATTGACACGATTACACTAAGAAAAATGGTCGACTAACATAGTTACATCCCATTTTTAGTTGTTCTTCCCTTGAAAATCACGAGAAAGTTTTAAATAAGATGCGAACAACAATATTTTGTGATTTTTAAGTTATTTGAATTTATAAGCAGAAATCTGTGCTGTTGGCTAATATTGATCTAATAACAATAAAAAAGGAAGTAGTTAGCTTATGTGCTTAATCCATTTCATCTCTTGTCTTTCATTATGGTTTAATAGTAACGGATTCATGACTTTTTCAAGTGAGAAAGTGACATGAAGAATAACAACATAAGCGTAATTTAAACTCTTATTTGTCGAATCCATTTTCAGAATCCTAAGAAAATGAAGTACAACGCTTTTGAGTGAGCGCGCGCACACACAGTATATACACGCATGTACGATTTAATAGAATATAATTAAGAAACTTACGACAAAATATTTTAGCTTGTTTACTTTATTTGTAAGGATTTTTATAGTAGGAAGATACTTTGCAAATGTTTGAAGCAGAATCGTTTCCGTGACTGGCTCTAATTCTTCATCAGGAATAAATACTCCACCCAAACTTGGCGCAATAATGTAAGTCACTTTAGAGACTTTCCTGTAAAATAATGAAAATTTTGAAATAATTTTTGAGTTCTTTAGGCACACACATTTAAAATAATCTTTATACATATGTAATGACATCAATAAGGCAGTAAGTAGTGACAAAGAATGTATTTTATACGACAAATATATAATCACTTTCGTTGTCACTTCACTTAATCCAGTAATGAATATTAATCCCATGAAGTGAAAATTGTAGAAAATTTCAGACTGCAAACTTATTGATCCATCCTCAAAGTCCTGGAAGCCAGTAAACAAAGTAAATATAAAATACAACATGGAAAAGAAAAAAGCATAAAATAAAAAGCTCTCACAATGTGTTATAGTCCCCCCTACCAACCTCCATAGCCGTGTTGTAAAGATATTCTTAAAAATAGGCGATAAATATTTTGGAAGTTCTTCAAAACTAATACAGGTATTTAACAGAAACAACCTAAAAGTAAGCTGCATACAAATGTGTGTATGTATATATATATATATATATATATATATATATATATATAAAGAAGAAAATATTTTAAGCAGTATAATATTTTATTGCATTTTAGATGTTTTGGCTTACTTTTGAAGACGCTTCGTTGAGAACCAATAAGTTTTAAATTTATTAAAAGGTACTGCTCTTATTGTTTGATAATATGCATCGATTTTCGAAATTTACAAAATCAATACGTTTATGCACATACCCACAGAAATTCAACATTATTTTAAAAATATTGGACATCATTGAATTGTAGTGGACTTTTCCATTTATCATTAATAAATACAGTTTTAATTTAATAACAATATCTCTTGGCCGCTACAAATTAATACAGAAATTTAAAAGATTTTTTTTTTTTAAATTATTCTAATTAAAATTTTAAAAAATGAAAAACAATTCTTGAAAAACTTCGTCATTCATCGTAAATATAATAGTCTATAATATATTTTATTTATAAAAGAAATTAAAAGCTTTTCTAATTAAAATTATCTTAGCTTTATTCATTTTTTTATTTTACAATTTCTATAACAATTGATAATTTAAATTCTCGGAGGACTTGTCCTTTTAACAAATTAAACAATACAAAAAAGAATTTCTTGAAAATGACCTTCATAAAGTTCTTCAAGGTATGAAACGCTTTCGTAAAGGAAGTTTCCCTTTTGCTATATATATATATATATATATATATATAATGTGTGTGTGTGTATGTATGTATATTTATTACAATATAAAAGGCTCAGACACTAATATTCCATGAAATATTAGTGTTTGAGCCTTTTATATTATATTCTTGCTCTGTCTTCTATCCTCTTGGAAATATATATCACACTACAGTTCAAAAGTTTGAAAAAAATTAAAAGGAACTGTTAAAGTCAATGAAAAAAGAATGGGATCAGTTATCAAACTTATACTTTGAGAAACTTCTGCAACGAATGACATTTGCATTTGTGCTGTAATAATCAAATCTAAGGAGGATATTTTGATGTGGGCAAATTTCTTTTTGTCATAATGAAATTTCTAATAAAAAACTCATGTCTCACTTTTGTTTAACCATGTATAATTTTCCCTAGTACAGAATTACTTTACAGGACCTCAAACTTTTGAACTGTAGTGTATATAGTCATCCACAGATACACTGTTTCATCAGTGTAGCTAGACATCTGGTTGCCTCAAGCTGGGATCGAAACCAGAGTGAGAGGAAAGCGAATTTTTGCGTATTTATTCTTTGAATAAACACGCCAGTGACCGACAGGGCTCAATTTATAGAAGATTTTAAACAACATTTATTCATATACATGAATGTGTTTTTTTTGTGTGTGTGTGTTAGTGGGAAGAAAGCCCTTTCACTCTCTCACATACGCACTATCTTAATGTGTCGATTTAACAATATTTTTTCGTTGAATGTATATTATCACATACTATTTTAGATTTTTAGAATAAAATGCATTAAATTTTTTTAGAATGAAAAAATTATGGTTTATTTTTTCAGTGTCTTCAGAAAGTTCCAACTAACATTAAAAGGCAACCAATATGCATGTGCTATTTTATATTAGCAATGTTTTATCTTCTTGCTTTCCTCATTTTTCAGAAAGTGATGATCACTAAATACATAGTATGGACAAGACAATACAAATTAAAATCTCTATTGTATATAATACTCACTTATTTTCTGATTCAAATCTGTCTTCAACTGTTCTTATGTAAGCCGTAACATTCCCCGAGAAATCTACAAGATATAAACGAAAACTGATTAGTTAAAAAAGAAAAAAATGAAAAAAAAAATTAAAGTGAAAAGATTTAGAAAGAAATTATTTCAATTCGATTTTGTTTATTCGCGTCTAGTTCACTTAGTACGTGTCACGCTCTCTCGTGTAATTCCTTTATTTTTATCCCTTTTCTCAGGCACATGCACAACCATCATTCATTTACCTACGTAAACAATAAAAAAAATAATTAAAATCTTTACAAACGCTAATATATATTTCATATACCGCTTGTCCTCATCCACAAAAACATACATGAAATGTACATTATGCACTTAAGTTTTAAAGAACGGTTAACATTAAATAGAATTTATTTCATTTGAAATTCGTTTTTTGTTACTCTTTCTACTCATTTTCCTTGTCTCTTTCGGCTGCGCTTACGGCCACATGACGTTGAAACACCGACTCCCGTACAATCACCGAAGTTAAGCAACGTCGATCCTGGTCAGTACCTTGATGGGTGACCCCTTTTGGGAGATCCAGGTGCTGTAAGTTTGTATGTGCAGGTGGCGTAATGGATAATGGCTTGGAATTATTAAACGGAGAGCCGAGTTCCAATTCCAGTTGGGTTCGTTATATTCACTTACACGCAAATATCCTTGGGGAAAAGGCATGAATCCACCTCTTCCCGCCACCCAGATATTAATTAATTAGTAAGACTTATATCACTAAATAATTATTATCTCCAAAACATTCTTACAATCTATAAAAATAATTCTAGCTTTAAATAACCCGCAATGGGTTGATAAACCACAGAAAACGAATCAATCTTTTTTTTTTTTAATTTTTGCTTCCTTTTTTTGTCTTCGTCGGAAATTACAAAGGTTTACCGAAATGTTCTCATCCTGGCCTATTTATCGCAGTTTGGCTAAAATTATTAAACATGGGAAGTTTTTGGAAGAACTTCCTGGTTGAACCAAGAAATTTTCATTACTCCCTCGAAGTTGAACCAAATATAAGAAATTATTTTTTGAAAACACAACTTACCAAGATTGGCATTTCTCCAAGCTAATGCGATAACATTTTCTATTTGACCCCATGAAGATGAGGTAAGACTTCCAACAAGGTAGACAAAATGTCCTCTTAAGGCTGTACAGTTGCACAAGCCAATCTTTGCGTGTTTTCGCAATGCAAGTTCATAGTCTTCCAAGGATGGTTCTGAGAGTGCGGTCAAACTAGACTCTATCCCTTTGACAGTCAAACTATAAAATACTTGAGTAACGAGTCCCCTGTAATGAAAAGGAGTTGCGAGGTGACAATCATGAAAACTTTAAAATGGTATTGCAGTAATTTAAATCTGTGAAATTAAAGATAGCATTTATTATCGGTCTATATTCAGTGAATTTTTACTAGAACTGAAATTATACATATGCGCGCGCGCGCGCACACACACACAGGAATATTCAGTATTATGTCTTTATAACATAAAATTTTATTTGTTCTTGGTATAAACGGGAATTTTAGCACAAAATAGTTTTAGTTATCAGTCGCACGACCTGAAATTGTGGTTGTCTTCTTTTGACGATTTCAAACTATTCTTATTCAGTATCCACAAGTACATAATTTTTAAATATTTTTTTTACAATAAAATCAGCTTTAACAAGAAATAATCTGCATGTTAATATATATTTACACTGTGTAGAGAGCCACCATCAGAGAATGTATTCTCTTATAATAAACTGAGAATTGTCACGCGTTATATTTTACTCACGCTCTCGAAAGTATAAATTATTTTATCGAGATAAACACTTTAAATCAGTGGATCTCAACCTTTTTTTACCCATGGACCCCTTTCCCCTTCTTTTTATCTTGGTGGACCCCTTCATAGCTATTGGACATAAGAACAATTTTCTATTCTTCACTAATATAAATTTTAAGGTTTTAATTATCAAAGAAATAGTATACGATTAAGCTTTATTTTTAAATGAAAACTAATTTAATACAAATAAAATATTCTACTATAATTATAATAATAATTATTTACTATTTTTAATTAACACAACAATTGAGTTTTGCCTGTGGACCCCCGGAAATATTACATGGACCCCTAGGGTCCATGTAGACCCCGGTTGAGAACCACTGCTTTAAATCATTCATTGACACAAAGCCTAAGGCGAATGTTCCAACAAAGTTAGAATATACTTGCCACAGTCAGTATTTAGCAATTGATAATTTTAGGTTTGCTTTTCTATTATCAGATTATGTTTTTATCTATAATTAGAAGCTTGCAAAATAAAACCGAGCAAATTGGTAAGGCAGTGGAACAGATATTTTTCACAAAAAATTTCTTTCATTAAATTTAAGGACTTAAATTTAAGATTATTAATTTTTACCCGGATGAGCCACAATTTTAAAACAGTAAATATGTACTTTTAAAATATATAAGTTATTTCATGTTCTTTTCTCAAATAGTAAAAATTACATGGAATATTTTTATTACATACAGGCAAGTGCTGAAAACTTCTAGGCTCGTCCCATTTCCCAAATTTTAACCAAATAAACATCTGAGTTAAAAAGTCCTTTCTTTATCAGACCAAGAAACGTTCTGATGCGCACTTTGTGTCTATATTTGAACTTGATATTAATATCGGATTAGAATGAAAGTTAAATTTTAATTTCCCACCAAACAGCAATTTGATACAGATCTAAACAAAGCAAATTACGTACCATGTTACCATATGGTAATTGTTATTCCAAGAATGTATAATTGGATGAAGCACATTAGGAGAGATATCTGAGAAAAAAAATATATCAAGATTGATTAATTTATTTTTTACGGCTTATCAACCCTTTGTGGTTTATTTAAAGCCGAAACATATTTTGGATTGAAAGCAGAATTCTTTTATTGCGAGTGAATATAATATTAACAACTTTTTGAGAATAACAAAGATTTTTCCAGATATAAGTGAAGTTTTAATCCTTAGCTGAACGAGGATATGTATTCATGGCTTTCCTAAGAGTATTTGTATGTAAGTGAAGGTTAACGAACCCGACTGAATTTCGAACTCGGCTCTCCGATTTCTCATTCAAATATGGAAAACCTTGACTGAATGTTTTTGATTAAATGTTAAAAAGTAATCATTCAAAATTTCAACTTTTAACAAAGGAATCTTCCAATTGAAAGCTCGTTTGAAAATAGACAATAACTTACCACGTGAATTTAGGGATCGAATTCATATGACAGATGATTTATTAATACCTTGTTATAGGAATGAACTTATAATGACAGCTTTGAAAGTTTAATTGCTGGATTGAATTAAGTTCCTAATGCACAAAAATCCTCACAGTTGAAAAAGCCCCAAGAATGTATTTTTTAATAAATGAAACACAAATATGAGTTAGAGGTCCGTAGTGCCGGTCATCTAACACATATTTGTGGTTCATTTCTTAAAAAAAAACTAACGCCAAACTAAGCAGCCGCCTAGGGCGCAGAAGAATAATCAAATACTAAACACCCTCCCACCAAAAAATATTTTCCTCATTTATTTTCAGCTATCAGGAATATTAATTTTAAGTCCTCATATAGAAAAGGGTGCATAAATAGAGGTATGTCATTGAATAAATCTTTCAACTGTTTTAGCTTCTCACTGCTGTAAGTAGTCAGCAGTGGTGACATTCCAACGGCATTATTTGCTTTCTGTATCGCCCAAATTTACTGTGTATCTCGAACAACTCTACGCCTGAGAGAAGTTTGGACTAGTCTACGTTTCTTTGTCTTGGTTCCACCATTGTGGTGTGACATTCTGTGACTGTAGATTTTTATTTTCAATATCTTTGTGTACACACGGCTATTATTTTCCACCGTTCTGTTCATTTTGTTGTTCTTTTAGTTTTTTGGGTGTACACTTCTGTCTTTTAAATGTAGCTTGGATGACGAGAAAGGTGGAAAGTGAGAATTTGTGCAAGGCCGAAGTGATTTTGAAATAGAAAATATCTATGAGAGGGAATGACTAAGCATTGCGAGACAGGTACATTGGATATAGTAACTGTTTGAATGCGTAATATGAAGTGATGACAGTTGTAGCAGTTAGCTACTACTACTACTATCACTAGTAATAGATGTGGTAACGATTGCCTTGAGAGGAGAAAACGTACTGGAGGAGTTAGTCGCCTCCACTTTCTTTCTTTTCCATCTAGTTATTTCTTGCCATCTAGTTATCTTCAATAAAAATTCTTTGTTTTCTCTTTCTATTTCCCAGACTGACACAGGTGGCATATCTTTACACCTTCTTTGCGCACAGCCGGAGCTAAGGGACTTGCACGTATCGTCAAGTACGCTTCCACCAAAGGTACAGAGATATTCAAGATAGACTTTGTACAATTATGCTCTGAATCGTAAAATAAAAAATACAGTAATATTAAAACAACTTTTAATTTGTTTTTATGAATATAATTTTTTCGATGAATAATGAATTTTTATAAGAATTTGTTCCTTTTTTAAAATTTAATTTATAAACTTTTAAAATACTGTGACTGGTACAGGTCAAGTGATATTGTTATTAAATTAAAACTGTATTTATTGATTATAAATGGAAAAACTCACTACAATTCAACGATGTATTTAAAATATAATTTTGTTTGTGCGTGTGTTTAAACGTGTCGATTTTTATAAATATGGACATCCATACACAACCAAATAAGAGTGGTACCTATAATAAATTTAAAATTTATTGGTAATTTTCTAACATTTTCTGAACAAGCATTTTTGTAAGTAAAGGCTATAAAATATTAGATTGCTTAAAATATTTCCTTAAATTTTAAAGATTACTGGGTAGTTTAAAAAAAAGGCGTTTGTCAAGAAATTTTTCAGTTTTGTCCCCCTTATTTAAATTTTCCAAACAACACGCTGTCAAAAGATCAAACAGAAAACACACCCTCGTGTTAAAAAATGCTTTTTCTGAGACATTTTAAATTAAAAGAAAATGTGATTCAATTCAGATTAATTAAACTTTAAATCCTCAAATAACGTTTCAAAAAAATTTTAGAGGATATTCTTGAAAGACATAAAATCTCATTATTAAAAAGATAATGAGAATTATTTTGTTTTGGTAGATCTACCAAAATTCATCCATATTGGTAGATGGATGAATTTATAGATTTTAATGAGAAAAAAATTTCAATCAGCTTAAATTAGGTTTGAAATACATCAAACTATTTTCCTTATTGGGAATATTAAATTTAATCTGTTAACTTGGAATTAAAACTAAAATTTAAGATTCAAGAATTTTTTAATTTAAAAAAAAAACATTTTAAACTTAGGTATCGCTTTTTTTGCATACTGCTTCATGTGTACACATATCAGTGTGTCTGTGTTTAAATGCAGAGAAATGTTTAAGATTTTATACATACCTTTATTGGCCGCTACCCATGCATTTTTTAAACTGAGGACAATTACTTCATTTGTCTCAACTCTTTTGTAAGCATTGAGGATGTTTATACGATATAATCTCCTGTTTGCATCGAAATCCAAATAGTCAGAAATAAATGACAAGT